TTTATATTTTCTGCTTGACTAATAATAAGTCTACAATACTATTGGCTTGCGGATTTTCTTCACTATGCAAAATATGATTGTGCTTTCTCAATGGAAAATAGCAAACTAAACTATTTTGGTCTAAAGTTATTTTTCTTTTTTAAGGTTCACTAATTTCTAAATTAAGATAATCTATCATAAACTATAGTCTACATTTCTCTAGAGTTAAGGCTAACTGGTTTCTTTAAAACTCTCTTTCTTCTCTCAATGTCTCTAAAACTTGATCTGTTGTTCTTTTTGCTTCTAAAACTTTATGCTGCATTTATGTGTTATTATATTTACGAATAAATAAAGGATGTTCAAAATAGCCAAGATAAAACTTTTGCTTCTTCAAAGTACTGATAATTCTTTTGGATATATATGCTAATCTTCTCTTTATGCTAGTTATAGTTGGATGTTTGGGACAATAAATACCTGGTAATTATGGTTGACAGGGTCTACAGGGACAATAATATCTGTTGTTCATACACAATAAACAAATATGATATCAGTTGTATCAATGACTTCTATCCTCAAGGTACTTTATTATTATAATTATACTATTAAAATGCTAAACTAGGCTCTGATACCAAATTCGCAACGCATGCTCGGTTAAATAGTCGGATGACCATTATAACAACTAGACATAGAACCTTGCACATGGAACTCGACATGTTTCAGCATGACGACAACTCACAGTACAAGTATAAGGCCTTAACGGTTGAACTCAGAGGTACGAAGAACTCAGCGGTATCCTAGTTAATGTCCAGTTATTTGTATGGTAAGCATGCAACTATAACAGAGTGCTCGAACAAAGTATGATCATCAGTTTAGCAGGTTAATAATATAACCACAATAGTGTTTCCATGTTTTGGACTAGAAGTCTAATTAAACAAACACATTAAAGAAGGAAAAGAAAACTTACTTAAGACTTGGAGATTGCTTGAATATGTACACTTGAACTTTTATTGATATATGGAATGTTTACAAAGATATTTGTTTACAAGAAAATGATTACAAAGAAGTGTTTACAAGGATGCTACGAAGGCTACGAATGCTTGAGTATATGAAGTGAGTATGGTGTTTTTAGATGTTGAGGGAGGTGAGATTTACAATGAATGAAACTCTTCTTATATAGACTGAATCAGAATACAATGGTAATGGTATGGACATCTCCTTGGTACTTGTAATTTGTCACTTGCCTCTACTGTTGCTAAAATTGTTAGCATTGTTTCTGAAACGTGGTAATGTGTGGTAATGTGATCTTGCTTGTCTCCTTTTGCATGTGAATTTGCTGCATGATTTGTCTCCTGGAGCCTTTATTTTGGTCATCCATGTGATATTTCAGAAATGTTTGCATTGTTTGCATGTGATTTCTCAGAATTGTTTTTCTTCCTTGTCCTCTTTCCCATGCCCAATTTGGGTATTATAAAAAGATTTTGTCCTTATGATTAAAGTGAAACTTTTGAGGGTGTTTTGGTTAGTTTTCCAAAAATACAATTGGTGAAGGACCGTGGCTGAGCCAAGTGATAATCATTTTCTCGTGGATAATCACATGGACTTGTCTTTCCAACTAATCAAGAAAAATGTATGAGCAGAAATGAAAAATCACAATACCCTACAGCTACATCTCTTAATAACTGCACAAACTGAAAACGTATTGAAACTAAGATAAAACATAATGTCCTACTAATGTTCGGAAGGTATATATGCGATTAGATCAGTGGTAATCCTAACAATCAACATAATGTTATAAGAATGTTTGAGTGAGTGCTCCGCAGGAAATTTAATGGGATTGAAAAAAAAAAAAATCTAAAGACACAAGCATTTCTAAGTTCACATGGCTCTGTCTTCAAATTCACCATCCTGTCAAAATACATCGGTGGTGATTCAGACTATGTATCTGTTGAAGTACTGTTTCTGTCCAAAAATATTTCACCTAAAATATTGAAGTTGAGGTGGAAAACAGCACCATGTGATCAGTGTCCCTTCTATGCCCTATCAAGATGGCCTTAATTGTCACCACATATTTCTTTCAACAGAGGATAATTCCTACATAAAACTTTAACTATATATATTTCATGAGACTTTCATTGCCATCCATTCAAGTTTCTGCATCTTCCCAACTCTTCTCTTCTTCTTGCTCCTATAAACTTGCACCAGACATTTCTCTAGAGAGACATAAAACCATGGGTTTCCGTCGTCCAAGTGTAACTCATGTAAAGAAAATTCTTCGGCGGTCTTTTTCAAATTCAAGTCGAGGAGGTTCATATAATATAGCAGATGTCCCAAAAGGTTATTTAGCGGTTTATGTTGGGGAGAACAAGAGACAGCGGTTTGTCATTCCTGTATCATACCTCAACCAACCTTCATTCCAAGACTTGCTAAGTGAGGCTTAACAAGAATATGGATCTGATCATCCAATGGTGGTCTAACAATTCCCTGCAGACAAGATACCTTCATTGATGTTATTTGTCCATTTTGAATTCATTGTGATTACATGAGTTGAGTTGCATTTTTGTAAAGAAATTTTTTTCTACAGACTGTACAAATATTTTTCTTTTGTGAGTGCAAAATGTACTCTCTGAAGGATGATGTGACTGAAGATTATAGATGTGGATAATGTTATTGTTCGGCTCTGTTGTTATCTTATCATTATAATTTGTATTTTTAATTATTGTTCTAATAATCAATGAACTACGGAAAGTTCACATGGCATTCGAGCTTTGATCCTCTCTTTTTCACATGGCTTCCGCAACCCCATCTTCTTCCTCAATCACCATTCTCAATATCTCTATCTTGGCTTCTGTCAAACTCTCTGAAAGAAATTATCTTCCTTGGGAGAGTCAGGTGAAGCCATTTTTAGTTGGCCAAAATTTATGGCGTTTTGTCTTCATATTGGTGTCCTAGTCCAGTAATCACCACCACTGCTCCAGGTGCCTCCCCCGCTGCTTCTGCTGATTCTGATGCTTCTTCGGTTCTCCCACCAGTGGTCACTACTTCTCCCAACCCTGAGTACCTTGCCTGGTACCAGACTGACCAGACTCTCGTTAGTATGCTTTGTGCTACTCTTACTGAACCTGCTTTCTCCCTTCATTCCAACTTTTATCAAAAACAATAGTTTGTTTACAATACGAGCATCTCTTATCTACTACTATCTAGGTCAACCGTGGTCTGTGAAGAATTACATGATTTGGTAACACTGGCTGTAGGAAGTAATTGTGAAAACTTTTTTGAGGAGTAAAAACGGTATCTTTGAATGATGTACATAAAAGTTGCAGTAAATTTTCAATAAATGATCACAGCATTTTTATAAGTGAAATACTATTTTGCTATGAAAATAACAACTCAGTTTACAATATTTGGAATTGTGGTGTATCATCTTTTTGTTGAAAATTTCACATTGGGATTTACAACTTGTAATTACATGGTTCCATTCCTAATTACACCGAAGCGTTTAGGAGCTCATTGCTTTAGCTAGCCAACTTAGCTAAGCCTTACTATATGGAGGTTACTACTAGGGCCGTCTCTGAGATTTTGAGGATCCTGTACGAAATTTGTAAAATGAGCCCTCCTTAAGATAGTTTTAAGTTTTAAAAAAGTATGACTATGTATTGATACTAGAAAACATTCACTTAAATCAAAACAAAGCCACTTAATACTACAGTCTAGTGATATTCCTCTTCACTTATATGTGAGAGGTCTTATGTTCAATTCTCACCAAAGGCGAATTTGAACCACATTATTGTTAACCTATTGTGAGGTTTAGCCCACTCCCCCACTCTCTTAGCGTAGCTAATATCGTTTGTTCAAAAAACAAAAAAAACTTTAGCCCTCACTGATTGCATGTTTACAAATGTCCTTAATGATAAGTAAAAAGAGCTACAAACATAACTTTCACTAAATAATCAAAAACAGTTTTATCTTAAACAGCCAAACATAAAAAATAAAAAAAACATTAGATCTCTAACTTTAAAGTTCACTTGAATATACAACGTTGTTATATTATAAAATTAAGAAATTGTCGCTTTTCAAGGTGTTATTATTGTCATTCAAAAAATCTCATTGTACTCCAAGTTTATATGTTTAGAAAGAAAAAAAAAAAAACTCTTATAAGGAGTGCACAATGTTGTTTAAAGTTCTAATAAAAGTAATTTTTTTAAATATAGAACATATTACATGATGTTAGATGACAAAAATTTAAGGGCTCCTTCAAATTTGGGGACCTGTGCGACTACACCTTTCGCTCCCCCTCAACGCCCCCTCTTAATAGAGATTGTATGGATACAAAGTATTGAATCAATGGCACAGGATACAAGGTGATAGACTAACAACTCTCTCCTTAGTTATTACATTTGATTTATCACAGTTGAGGTATCACGCCCCAATCCTAAGATACACCCAAAACTGATTGGTGATGGAAAGAAAGGAACAAATACATAAGAGTTCACTAGAACCCAAACATAAGATATATATACATATATATATATATCCTGCAGAATGAAAAATAATAATACATTATACTTCTCATGTAGGAATATCCAAGGCCTTTAAGGAAACTTCGAATTTCTTAGCATGAACATTGAACAGTGCCCGGCAACGGGAAGCCCTTCGTTTAAAATTTCTTAATGAAAAAATTGAGCAACACTAGAATTTTCAGTTGAATTGTAAAAATAGAGATAAATGTGTATCGCCGTAAACCATATATTATCTGAAACGACTTATTGGTGATCCTGGAGGCACCACGATGGTACCATGAGAGAGACTAGCTCATGGAAAATCATTGAGGCACCACGATGCCAACAGATTAAAATTTGCATAATTGAATCCTTTCGGAAGAATAGATACATGACTAGTATAAAATCAGAAACAAGCAGAAAACAGGAGTTTTTTTGCAGGTTGCAAGTTCAACATACTATATATGTGGACCCAATAAAATTTATTTGTGGTTAAACTATATCATAGCAATAAGTTTCCATATCCAACTAAACGATGACTGTGTCGGAAAAAAAAATCTCTAGTAGTTGGCGTGAAGGGCCGTGTGGGTGTTCTCCAGGCAATTGATTGGCAATAGATATTAGCATTTAAAAGTTCACATGGCTCTGTCTTCCAATTCATCACAAGCCTTGGTAGTAATCGAGGCTCCACATATTTTGCCTAAAATGCTTGATTAGTTTGAAGGCAGAACCATGTGAACACTGATGAGCTCTTGTTCCCTTCTATACCCCATCCAGATTGCCATTGTCTTTACCATATATTTTTTCTTTAGTAGAAGATATTCCACAATACTTTTCATTTATATAAACCATATGAATCTTCAAGTTCTCAAGCATATAGCTTTATTGTTTTGCAGTTGCTCGTCCCTTGAGATCTTCTTCAAGTTTTTATACTCTATTGCTAGTCTTTCCTCCAAAGATTTACTACAATGGGGTTCCGTCTGCCTGCTGTAATTCCTGCTAAGAAACTTTTTCGACGGTCTTCTTCAAATTCAAGTGAAGGAGCTTCGTATAATTTATCGGATGTCCCTAAAGGTTATTTTGCAGTTTATGTTGGTGAGAGTGAGAAGCACCGCTTTGTGGTTCCCATATCTTTCCTCTGCCAGCCTGCATTTCAACACTTGCTAAGTGAAGCTGAAGAAGAATTTGGATTTGATTATCCAATGGGCGGTCTAACAATTCCCTGCAGACAAGATGCTTTCCTTGAACTTATATCTCGCTTGAGTGCAGTATGATAGAGTGGTGGATTGTGGAGAACAATTACACGAACTGTGCGATTGTTACAATTTTGTAAACAAAACAATTTCTAGATTTTGTACATTTTTTTCAATCGAGGAAGAAATATTGTTCCCTCAGAATCGGATTATATAAATTCTTAAATGGAGACTGTAGCAATATTCATAGCTTATTACATTATAATTTATAAAGCATCGCTTTAGATTATATGACCGGGTGTGTTGCTGCTGCTTGGTGTTGTCTTCAGTTAATGACCAACAAAACATTTCTTGGTTGTGTGATGAACCGTCTGATTTAACCATGCATAAGTAGTAATTTTGTTTTCTTTCAACAAAGGGAGAAGGAAAAAAGATGTAACTTGTACAATCTTGGATTTATTTCTTCAGATTCTTTTGTGATTTAGTTTCCCATTAGGATCCTTTTTATAGTTATACGAATACTAAGATGTTAAGTATAGTCCCCCCAACAGACCTAAGTTTTCTCTGCATGACTAGTATGTCATTTGGTAGAGGAAATTGCGAATTTTTCATTCGAACAACTCCACAATGAAATTCTGTATGAGTATATATTCTTTTCCATATATCCAATTACGACTCCCAACTTTTTATTGATACTTGATGTAGGAGATGTATATGAGTCACCATACAAAACAGAAGAATGAAAGAAACGTTGAACCTTCAATAAGCCTGTCTGTGATCTAATTAGCTTGGGAATTATCTTAAAGGTGGGAGATATTGTCAGTCAGTTTTAGTTACATCTATACAGCTGCTGATAGTGGACATCGTGCTTCTCTAATAACATGGACATTGACTCAGTAGCTTCCAAACGGCTTGGGTCCCTAGTTTTTTTTTTTACTCAGTAGATAGGCTTAACAAATCTTGGAATGGAGGTTGGTTCAAGTAGGACACCGGAATAATAAACCTCTTCTTTTGGCTCTCCCAAACGTAGATGGCAAGATAGCCTTTTGGAACATCCAATGACTTTGAAGAAACTTGATTTTTGTTGGCATGTACAATACCAGGAAATTGGAAAACCATGGTTTTAAAATTTCTTTAATAAGGAACAATAAAGAGTTCAAATGAATTTCAGGACAGAAAGTGCTTTGATAAGATATGCTTGGGAGTAGAAGACTTGTGTTCGTTTGCTCCTGAACCTTGGATGATGTGTGCATATATAGCTAAAGCGGTATGCTGCAAGCAGTCAGTTACCTAAAATGATTGGTGATGAAGCACTGGGATGGACCCAAGTGAGAGAGAGTTTGCTCATGGAAAATCACATGGACTTGTCTACAAGTTATCAACAACACTGCACGAGTCGATGACCAAATGAAAGAAACCCAGTGTCCTGCCTCTCTTAGTTGACGGCCTATAAAAAAACAGAGACATGCTTGAGACAAGAAATTTTCCCTTGGTACTATTTCAACAGTTTTAGCATATAAAATGTGAGGACTTGATCTCTTTGGTTAGGATATAGGTACGAAAAATTGATACGTTGGTCTACAAAATAATGTGTACAAGTTGGAGAGAGCAATTGAATGCGGATTGGCCAGAGACTCAGCTGCTCAAGCAATTATGTTCATACGTCTATGTGTTCTAATTTTTCAAGGACATCAGGTAAGCAAAAAAAATACGATTAGTGAAGGATCGTGGTGGAGCCAAGTGCGAGTTATTTTCTCATGGAAAATCACATGGACTTGTCTTTTCAACTAATCAAGAAAAATGTATGAGCAGAAATGAAGAATCACATTACCCTACAGCTACATCTCTTAATAACTGCATAAACTGAAAACGTATTGAAACTAAAATAAAGCATAATGTCCTACTCGTGTTCGGAAGATATGCCGACAAGGTCACTGGTAATCCTAACAATCAGCATAATGTTACAAGAAAGTTTGAGTGAGTGGTCTGCAGGAAATTGAATGGGATCGAAGAAAAATAAATTCTAATTAAAGACAGAAGCATTTGCAATTTCACGTGGCTCTGTCTTCAAATTCATCATCTTATCAAAATACATTGGTGGTGATTGAGACTGTACATGTGTTGGTACTGCATTCAGTCCAGCAATATTTCACCTAAAATATTGAAGTTGAGCTGGAAAACAGCACCATGTGATCAGTGTCCCTTCTATGCCCTATCAAGATGGCTTTAATTGTCACCACATATTTCTTTCAACAGAGGACAATTACTACATAAAACTTTAACGATATATATTTCCTGAGACTTTGATTGCCTTCCATTCAAGTCTCTGCATATTCTCAACTCTTGTCTTCTTCTTGCTCCGATAAACTTCCACCGGACATTTCTCTAGAGAGACATAAAACCATGGGTTTCCGTCGTCCAAGTGTAACTCATGCAAAGAAAATTCTTCGGCGGTCTTTTTCAAATTCAAGTCGAGCAGGTTCATATAATTTAGCAGATGTCCCAAAAGGTTATTTAGCGGTTTATGTTGCGGAGAACGAGAGACAGCGGTTTATCATTCCTGTATCATACCTCAACCAACCTTCATGCCAAGACTTGCTAAGTGAGGCTGAACAAGAATTTGGATTTGATCATCCAATGGGTGGTCTAACAATTCCCTGCAGACAAGATATCTTCATTGATATTATTTCTCAGTTTTGAATACATTGTGAATACATTTACGTTACATTTTTGTAATGCAAAATTTTCAACATAATGTACAAATATTTTTCCCTTTTGTGAGTTCAAAATGTACTTTCTGAAGGATGATGTAAATGAAGATTATAATTATAGATAAGGTTGTTAGGCTTTCCTGTATTTTCAATTCTTGTTGTAACCTGTGTTAGCTGCTAAGCTCTGTTTTATAATCAATGAAATACGGAAAGTTCACATGGTGTTCGAGCTTTGGTCCTTTTTCTTTCCATGGCTTTTGCAACTGCATCTCCCTCCTCAATCATCATTCCCAATATCTCTACCTTGGCTTCTGTCAAACTATCTGAAACAAATTATCTTCCTTGGGAGAGTCAGGTCAAGCAATTTTTAATTGGCCAAAATTTTTGGCGTTTTGTTGATGGTTCGTATTTGTGTCCTCGTCTGGTCATTACTACCACTGCTCTAGTTGCCTCCCCTACTGCCTCTGCTGATTATGCTCTACGGTTGTTCCACCAGTGGTCACTACTTCTCCCAACCCTAAGTACCTTGATTGGTACCAGACTGACCACTCTCGTTAGTATGCTTTGTGCTATCTCTCATGGTTTATGGTTCAAAAAGGGTCCTATTCATCTTTCAACATACTCAGATGTTGATTGGGCAAGCTACACATTTGACAGGCGACCAACATGTAACAACTTGTCCCGGATTTATTGGAACGAAGAGATATTTTCATAAATTTACACCTTGGGCTAAATATTTTGTATTGGGGTTGTTATTGGACCTTAAATTGTGAGCCGGGTGAGACCCTTTTCTCTTTTTGGTTCCCCAATCTCCCTTCTCCTTTGCTTGCCACTTGGCAACCCCCACCTCATCTCTCCCTTTTCTCTCATTCTATCCCGAGTTCACTCCCTCTCTCACCCCCTTCCTTTCGCTGCACCCTCTCCTTCCCGAGGACCACCCAAACTTTAGCGACGGCATCACCACCGTGATGGACCTCTCTATTCCCCCTGCGAGCTCCATGAATCCTGGAACAAAGGAAGAGCACTCAACCCTCCCCGTATCCCGTGCACCGTTGCTGCACCACTGTGGCCTAGGTGAGTCCATGATCCTTTTGGATTGCGTTTTGGGGTTAGAGTGAAGTAGTTGTTGAGTGGTTTCACTCATTAATTGCATTGAATAATCGGGACTAAAGGAAACTAGATTCCGATGAGGATGCCATATTTTTCAGGCTTTTTTCCGACCACTTCCAAGCCACTGCTGGCCACAAGGAAGGTATATTTCGACTCTTTATTTCCCAGGCTTCATTTTGGTGTTTTGAATTGCTGGAAAATGTTATGTTTCAAACTCCGTCAGAGCTAAGGAAGTTCCCGACCAAGAACCGACTTCCTTCTCCGGCAAGAACAACCAAACCAAGATTTTGGGCCTTTGGCACCGACCCTTTTTGCAAACCCAAAGCTCTTTAGAACTCATGCCTTAGGCTCACTAATCCCAAGACCCAAGCCCAAAAGATTTAAGCCCAAACCCTTTGTATTTTTATTTATTTTGTTTTCTTTTAAAAACCCAAAAACAATCGGGCCAAGCTTCGAGCCCAGCCCTAAACCCATTAACCCTTATAACCTAGGCCTTTGGGCCTAGGACCTTTCGGCCTAAACCCACCAGCCTAGATCCGGTTAGAATATTCTTAGAATATTCTTTGGAATATTCTTGTGTTGACCTTTTAGAATTTTACCCGGAACCCTTCTTAAGGTAATTCGACGTCCTAAATCTGTTTTTGACATCCGTTTTACCAAATTTAATCGTTATGATAGAGTTTTATTAAATGAAAACTAATGAAAAAGGGCTTGAAAACTTTGAGTTTTAACGATAAGGACAAAATAAAGGTAAAGTGAATAGTACCAAGATTGACTTTTTAGTGTAAAAATATGGTTTTTTGTTAAAGTGAACAATACCGGAAGTTTTTTGTTAAAGTTCCCCTTTATTAATTTTACCCATTATATGCTTGGGGGCAATTATTTGTGGCGTTTCCGTCTTCGCTAGTTTATGTGGCTCTTCGACGATGAAGTACTTGTGAGTAGACCCCTTCTAAAATGCATGTTTTAATAGTAGAAATGCATACATGAAAAACATGATCTAATGATCACATTTTATGAGATATTATGCTTACTTAGAATATTTTGGAATACCATACTTTCTATCAAACCCATGTTCTTTGTAGGATATATGATGGATGATGATATACCATTTAGAACATGTTTTTACACACTTCCTTATAGTATAGATGATGGATGACTTTATGACATGCCCCAATCCCGATGTCCTTGGGACATTGGGATGGTCACATGCTGGCCGACACCCGAAGGGTGACGAAAGCCATTTAATTTATGCAAATGTTGTGAACATGCTAAACATGCATATAAGTTAGGACTAATCATGCAATAGGGACGAAAAACATAACACTAAAGTTCAACTGCTAACAGTTTAATATTAAGATAATGCATGACATGTTCAGAGCATATGTCCAATACAGAGTACAAGTGGAAATTAAGATAGAGAGTGCTATT